TATATTCACATATGTAATCCTTATATCGATATTAATAAAAGGGGCGATAAGTCAGCTTTTGTTTTTAGGAGTTGCGTGTGCCGTACCTGAGCGCGCCAACTTTAGACGATCTGATTAGTTAACTTTAAACACTTATAATTCAAAAACTATTATAGTCTCAACATTTTGGTATTGGAACTTTTGTCTTAAAATGATCTCAAGAATCTACCCTTAAGCGTTAGTCCGGTCATTACGGGACACCCTGTATAGTTGTTGATTTGTATATATTTGTTATTTTGTATATACTTGTCAATTTGTATATACTTGTCAATTTGTATATAGTTGTTCATTTGTATATATTTGTGGATTTGTATATATTTGTTTATTTGTATATAGTTGTTAATTTGTATATACTTGTTAATTTGTACATATTCCCCGTCGAGACTCGTCACCTTGCTGTGGTAAAGGGGCTCCTTGTCACTGGATGGATCACTCTTGGTCCGACAGTGACCACTCGTGACAAGGTCTGAAAAATGTAACACTGGCAATGGTAAGTAAGGAGAATACGTAATAGAAATTGTAGCAATGTCATATTGCATTCCAGGTATCAGAGGCAATATGTGGACAAGATTACACACTGCGAGGGATTGGCCAACGGGCCCAGGGGTCCAGGGGGCGGAGCCCCCTTGTCAGGGTCCAGGGGGCGAAGCCCCCTGGTCAGGGGTCCAGGGGACGAAGCCCCCGGTCAGGGGTCCAGGGGACGAAGCCCTCTGGTGGGGGTCCAAGGGGGCGAAGCCCCCTGGTCAGGGGGGGCTTCGGGGGGGCGAAGCCCCCCCCGTAACGAGAAAAAAATTTGATAGTAAAAAAAACCATGCAGAAATAAAGACGAGGTATATATTGGTATTCAACAGCCCAAGGGCTGACTGAAGTTGTTGGCCTTACCGATCGCCCACCTGCTAAAAATCCACCTAAAAAGCCCACACGGACCCACAGTGGGGATGGCCCCGGGACCACTGGAGAGTATTACTTCAGGGCCACCCTCTTGGAGAACATGAGCTGGAAGCTCACGACTTTACAGGCTTCATCATGAAAGGAGAAGACACTGGTCAATCTCTTAGTACCACAACGAGGAACACAGATAGACCAGAAGAGAGATGTAACTCACTTTATCTAAAGTGGTATTTAGAAGTCTAAGTTCCGTCTGAATCGGCATCGTAGTGAACCACATCCTGCCTAATTTGGGCTTCCCTTGCCCTCTCCCCATCCTCCTTACGGACCATGACTCTCTCGCAATATCTTCCAAAAGCCGCCCACTTCACAGGGGATTCCAGTATGGCGGGAATCACCGCACTCAAGCGAAGGTCCCTACCCAAAATCTGTACTAACTCCTCTCTTTCGTTTGCCCAGGCCGGACACTCTGCCAGTGTATGCGCGTTACTGTCCCGAGGGTCTGGGCAGAAGAAACAATCCTCCCGAGGGGCCTTACCAATACGCCGCAGATAAGTGTTAAAGCACCCGTGCGCCGTTAATATTTGCGTAATCCTGTATGTTAGGTAGCCATGCTTCCTTTTAAACCATGCCTTGAGGTTAGGAACTATGGCCCCTCTGAGTTCGACCGCGGTAGTGTCAGGTCTGCTATATGCTTCCGCCCATTTATCCAGAGCATCATCTAGGGCTTTCTCCCTGATACGATCGTGCATACGGTTTGTGATTACAATTTCCTCCTCTTGTAGTGCTCGCGTGTCAAGGAAAACTTGTCTCTGCTTTTCTGCAAGGAAGTCCACGGGGATCACCCTTGCCAGCAGGAATGCTGCCGGGTAAGACACCGTGGGGTATGCGGCCACTGTTCTTAAGGCAATCCTGCGTTGTGCTGCTTTTATCTCTGCACCTACTCTACAATCAAAAGGCAGCGTCGGAGCCCACACCGGTGCCCCGTAAAATATTACTGAGTGAATCACCGCACTATAGAGTCTCCTGGATTTTTCTCCGGGCCCCCGAAGATTGGGCATTAGTCTCGCCAATGCGAGGGCCATTTTCTCCGCCCTGGGTAGTACTTGCGTAAAATGCTCCCTAAAACTCCACTTGCGACTGAGGAGTAGCCCCAGATACTTTAACGTGGCGCTCAGAGTGACTCGTGCCCCTTTAATTAAAATCTCCTTGTCTCTCACAAACCTATGAGCCCGCGAGAACACCCCTGCTTCGGTTTTGGCGGGGGCGACTTTCAATCCTAATGACTCGATTTTTCTAATAACCGAGGCAGTCCCTAGTTCTGCTCGAGCCCTCGCGACGTCCAGGGTATCCCCCAAGGCTATAATTAGAGTGTCGTCCGCATAACACAATACCCGGATGTCCTCTGAGATATCCAAATTCAACACACTATCATAGGCGAGAATCCACGCTTCCGGGCCGTACGCCGAGCCCTGAGGAACACCACGCGTCATGGGAGATCTAACCATTTTACCGTTGCAGTCCACATAACAGTACCACCTATCCGACAAGTAGCTCTCTGTGATTTCTCTCAGGTAGTTTGGAACCTCTTTGTCGATTAGTGCCCGCCAAATACTCTCCCAAGGAAGAGAGTTGAAAGCATTTGCAATGTCCAAGGAAACTGCTACCGCGACTTTGCCCTTCTCATAAACCGGATCCAACAAATCCCTCAGCCGCAACACCGCGTCAATCGTCGAGCGTTTAGCCCTAAACCCGTACTGCGATTCAGAGAGACCCACCCCACAGCTAACACTAGCTCTCATCCTCCTGACTAAGATCCTCTCAAACATCTTTCCGACCTTGTTCAGCAAACAAATTGGCCTGTACGAAGATGGGAGAAGATCCGGCTTGTTCGGTTTCTTCAAGAGGACTAACCTTGCTGTCTTCCAGCAAGACGGGAAGACACCCTCCCGAAGACACGCAAAGAAGCACAGCATGAGCAGTTCCATACACTCGGGTATCACTTCCTTGACCACCCCCCCAAGTATGCCGTCAGGTCCAGGTGTCTTGCCACTACGCTTCAATTTGGACGCAGCCCACTCAATTTCTCCCTCAGATACGAAAAAGTCCTCATCCCATAGGACCCTGTTCCGCGGGCGCGCCTCAAGTTCTCTCTCGTCCTGCGGGAAGAGGCTAGTCGTCACTTGTAGCATCTCCTCCGTTGACAGCATCTCGCAGACCGGCTTACCCGAAGGTCTCATCTTGTCCAACACAATCTTGTAGGGGCGGCCCCAGAGATCCTGGTCAATATCACCTAATAACTCTAGCCATGCCTTGTTCTTAGCCTCCTTTATAGCTCTTCTGAGCGCTTTCCTGGCTGAAGCCAAGTCGGCCTCGAGAGCTGGGACCGCGCCTCGTTTCCTGCGCCCTCTGATCACCTTTCTCCGACATGCGACGCACTTATTACAAAGGGTCGCAATCTCATTGCTCCGCCAGTACACCGGTTTCTTCCGGGTGTTTCCCTTACACTGCATCGCAACGTCAGAGGCCTCTGTTAGGACGCGCTGAATAAATTCCGCCATCTGGCTTGCCGACATATCCCTCATTAGTCTGATTTCTGGCCAAAGCCTTACGGCTACATAAGCACGAAGCATGTCCGTATTCAGGCTACGGGGATTCCATCTTGGGAAGCCTCCATGGGTGGATGGACCCGGCCCAGCACCACCCCCTCTGCCCAACCTAACCTCAGAAAAATGTATCGGTGATCCGACAGTGCCTCCTCTTCATCAGCCACATCCCATGTTTTGACAATCGGCAACACCGCCGGTGACACCCAGGTCAGGTCAATGACCGACCTCCCATGAGGCCTAACACAGGTAGCCATATTGTACTTGTTAAGTAACTTGAAATCCTGAGTGGCCGCCTAGGTCATCATCACATCCCCTCTCAGCGTGGGGTGAGTGTCGTCCCAGATGTTGGAGCGAGCATTAAAGTCCCCCATAACCAAGATCGGTTGACTCTGCGTACTAATTGCGTCTCCAATGGATGACAAGAAGGCTCGAAATTGATTCACGCTTTTATTTGGCGAGAAATAGCATGACACCACCACCAGCTCGTTCCATTTAACAACCACAAAGCCTTCCCTCCTGTCAATCAGTGCAACCGACCTAGGGGACCGGGAGCCCTGCCACATGATGGCGGCCATTGGGGTGGCCTCAAGTGACCCTATTCATCTTGGGTCCTTCGGAACCCGGTACGGCTCTGAAATACACGCTAAATCGCATTCGCGCTCTAGCATCGTTTGCAGCAGCAAGTCCTGAGCCCCTCGAGACCGGTTCAGGTTAACTTGCACTATACAGTTATCCGTTTTTGGATGGCCCAGCCACAACGCTCCGATCGGCCGCATCATCTGCCCTCTGTGACCTCGGGGGGGTCCTTCTGGGTGAGTAAGAAGGGCACACCTCAGATCCCGCTCTGTGATTATGAGGGAGGCCTCGCTCTCTGCAAACCGGACAACTAGCCGGTCTTCTACACTCCCTTGCAATATGGTCCTCTCCGCCACAATTAAAGCAATGGACTGATCTGTCGTGTTCGCTGAGGCATTTCCAACGAACATGTCCAATCCCAAGACACTTGTAACATTGCAAGGGTCTCTTTTTGAGTAGTTCGGCCCTGGCGGTCGACCATCCAACTCTCAACGTACCCGCGTCTGCTATTTTCAGAGCTGCCTCCAAGGGGCACTGTAGCCACGTCGTCCTGAAGCTGTTTCTGGCTATTCTAGCGTTGCCAAGCCGGATATTGTCAACTGCACAGCCTCCTATTCTCGTGACCTCGGCCAGCACCTCCTCGGCCGACATCGAAGCGTCCAGCCCGGACAGCCTTAGCTCGTCCTTTAGCATAGGTCTCCCCACGCGCACATCCGAATCCTTAAAGGAGTCCTTTAATTTGGCTGCAAGTGCATCGGCCGCCAGCGACGTATCCTGGCCAGGGAGTTCTATCAAGATACCCCCCGAGACAGTACACCGCATGCGGGTATCTTCGGTACCCAGATCCCCCAGGATAATCTTCTCCTTAGCCTTTTTGAGGGCCTCCGCGTACGACATGTTTCCCTCCGGGCATATCAATGTAACAGCCGATGAACGAGGCCTTCGGTTCGGCAATGCGGTACCCTTCGTTTTTCTAGCTGAGGGAGGAGCCCCCCTGTCGTTCTCCACTTGCGATGACATCATACGCGACCCCGGCAGCGCCCGAGTCTCCACGTCTTCACCCTTTACACCTCTCTCCGTCGTCTCGCCCCCGTCAGTAGGGGGAAGGTGCAAGGGTGCCGGCCGTGTACGAGTACATGTCCTCAGCTGCTTTTTCTTTCTCGGCGGGGAGAAAAGCACTCTGGGATCCTCATCCTCGGTTTCAGCCCTTCGTACGGCTGCAGCTCCAGTTGCGATACCGTTCCCCACTCCAAGTCTAGGCCGGGGATTTGCAGTCGTCGGAAGTACTCCTACTGGGGGTCCTCGATGTATACCTCTCGCAGGTACCATTGCCGCAAAGGATTCCGCTATGGCTCCCTTTATTGTCGCAGCCAAATCCGAAAGGAACTCCTTTTCAAGTCTAGGTTGATACCGAGGGCCCGGTGGAGAGGCCTTTACCATCCTTCCTATTGGTTCCTCACTCAGTCCCCTATCCCTGTTTTTCGATGATTTTTCTCTACTCGGACCCGGGATCCTTTCCTCCCGTAGAGGGAGTGGGGGCTCCAACGGGGGAGTTCCCAATTCCATATGGGTTTCGACAGGTCTCTCCGTCATACCTATTTCTCCAGCCGCAAGTCTATCCGTCAGCCTCTGTATCTGAAGTTTAGCCTCGGCCAACTCTTCATGAAGTCCTTGCACTCGACTCTTCCAGTATTCGGGATCTCCTTTCGCCGAGGCTCTAATCGCCAGGGTTCTTACTGCTTGAGCCGTCGAATGGAGGTTAACTTTTATTTTCCTAGTTAGCGCTCCTTGAATGTTCTTCGACTTTGCGCGTGCGTCCTCCGCCTGTTCGAGCCACTCAGTGGCTAATGCCGCAATTTCACAAGACGAAAGGCGTTCCAGCGCCCTCGCCCGCTCCTCCGTAAGGCCCTTTTGCAACTCAGAAAGCACACCGATGGAAGGCCCCCCATCAGTTCCTTCATCGTCCGCGTCTTCAGGAGAACTAATTATTCTCCTTCTTTTCTGCCCGGCTTTCTGCTTATTCACCCCGGTGCCCGATGATGATGCAGAGCTACACCTCCTGCTTCTGCTTGTCTCGTATCTTGTGATTTCCAGGTCCGGGTCCGCAGGGGTAGTCGGCCTGGAGATATTTCCCACGTTCAGGACAGAGACGAACTCGACGTCATGTTCACTAGGCGGTGTTTTTTCCAAAGAGACTGATTTGTCCGCATTTATATCCTTGTCTTCTTTACTTCCCTTATTTCCTCTCGTTCTTTTTGGTCTAGCCACAGGTGTGGTTCCAATTACCTCAGTACCGCCGTCCTCTTGCGCGGATGCGGTTTCCCTCGACGTATCTGGTCGCAGGCCGACCTTATAGTTGCCCATATCCAGTCTTTCCACATTGATAGACACTCTTCTATTCTCGACGATAGCAGGTTTGGGCGAAGGCCTCGCCATAGCCGCCGCCCCGCTCCCAGCGCATGATGTCGACGCGGGGGAACTGGGACAAGGATCCCCTACGCGCCGTTCTCCAAAGTTCCGAACCTCCGGAGGTGTTTTTATCTTAGGTGTGCTGCTCATATCATTCTTTTTGTTGTTCGGCTTTTTGCCAAGAGAACCCCCTCTTGTCTCCTGACCGTCCGACCGCACCATGGGGAATCAACGGTCGGACTAAAGAAAGCTGTAGGTTATTGACCAGCAACGGATCCTCATTTAAACAATCATAGCGTCTATGTTGCTCCTGTATACCGTGCTCATAGGAACACTCTCATCCTCACTTTGTAATTAAATTCTCTTGCTTGATGTAATTCTTGAATCTTGACTCTTGAGTCTAGACGATAATCCCCACTACTACTAGATCCCCTCCCTAAAAAACAACCCCCGTACAAATGTTAGCTACGCTGCGGCCGATGATCAGCTAAGTTCTTTGATATCCCCAGGAGAACAGCGTTGTGCGCCCTTACAAGGGCACAACACTAGGGATTTAGCTAAATTAATATTTAGGTTGCATAATTGCAACATATTATCACGAACAGACCGCGCTCGAGAACCCGACTCTCGACAAAGTGTCACAGAGTCATTCAGTATGTGTATCACGCACAATGCTCAAGTATTTGTGTTTATATCAATTCCGCAAGCAAGAAACAATGTCCTTCCAGCACGTATATACGCATACATATATCCGGGCTGCTACTTTATTCTACTGTCGTAGTCTCTCCACGCAATACTAATATTTACTGTATATATATTTAGTATCTTAGTCTAATTACTTAGTCTATCAATTCTAATCACATTGCAGTCTCTCTATGTCTAATTTCCACAGCACGAACAGACCGCGTTCGACGACACTGATTATCAGACAGGTACCAGTCAGCGTGTTGGTCTTCTTACATATTTATTTATCAAGAAAAGTTTTTTCCCCGCCACTTAATACGAACAGACCGCATTCCTTGTTAGCCGGGTTTACGCTATCTATTCCGTTCCAATACCCATGCCCGTGGGCACGTGGCAAGAATTCACAAACTCAACACCAGACTTATCTAGCAATTGCCACGTTCATGCCTTAAGGGGTAACACCACTGTAAAATTTTCAAAAAATCGATTTTTTTTTTGGACTTAAAAAATCCTTTGAACCCTGTAGAATACGAGGAAAAAACTTTTATACGTGAAACTAATTTTTTTCATCGAAATTCCGAGCTGTGTACCGAACGAGTCGGGCGACTCCGAAACGGCTCCGGGTGGAAACCTGTCGAGAGAGTAGTGCATAATACCTTGCTTATTGATTTCTAAGTTATGTGAGACACTACTAGATGTTTCTA